TTTTTATGTAAGTACCTAAAGAAATTTTTTTGTCAAAGTAGGTATCTATAATATTATTATATTTTTCATACAAGAAGTTAAATTATTGTTTTTTTTTTCAAAGTAAGTGGCTAAAATATATTATCTTTTTCATCTAGGTACCTAAAAGTTGACATATGACTTTGATTAGTTTGAGGCGGATTACAAGGTAGCTTGAAAGACTCACAACCTACAATATTATTATTTTCCAATATACTATCTTGTTCATCAATGAGAATTGCTTAATCCTTGTTCTCACGTGTTCCCCAAGATTCACATTTCGAGCATTTTCCAAGTTTTGGATCCATGGATGTTCTTCATATCGTACACATCATGATTATCAACATTAAGATTTTATGGATGCAAGGCATTACCATAATAATGAATTAGACAACGTACAAACTGAAAGCTTGTTGAACACTTATCCGATTTTGATCCAGCATTCTTCTAACTGGATCCTTTGCTTCACTGGAAACTTTAGGCCAAGGATCCCTTTGAAAATCTATTTTCTCTCTTATTATTGCTCTTGCAATGCCTTCTTCACAATCTACAATATTATTATTCGGATTAAAGGTATGACTCTCGAATGTGGTAGATATTTTATATATTTTAAAGAAAAATTAAAATAGCACAGATCAACAGTGTTAGAAAAATTCAATGATTTGGATGTTAATAATATATATATAAAAGGTTAGGATTCATTTACAAAATATTAAAAAAAAATAGTTTTATACATAGTTATGACCGTTGGATGAATGTAAAATTCAACTGTTAATAATATATATATATATATATATATATATGGAATAAGGATTTAATTATATTAATATAAATTTTATATATTTTTTAGGACTAAAATTTTAACAATGCAATGATAAAATTATAATTACCGGCCCAAAAGGGAGGAATTCCACAAAGCAAGATATAGAGGATAACACCAGCACTCCAAATATCTACTTCTTTGCCATAGTTTCTTCTTAAAACCTCTGGGGCCATCTAACAAGGACTTCCAACAACGTCATTGAACTGCTGGCCTGCTGATGAATTTCGGTTCATTCGATTCGATCGGGCTTCGTATGTTTGTTCATCGTTTTTCATTTCTTGATCGGATAAAACAAATGAATCTTTAAATTTGAACATAAATTGTACCTGGTTTATGAAATATGGAAAGGCCAAAATCAATTGCTTTTATTGGCTGCCAACAAGAAATTCTCTGGTTTTAAATCCCCATGTACCACTCCATGTTCATGGCATGCCTGCACCAAATGTTATTCAACTAATTGCACATTTCTATGGGATCTACTAAATTACTTGGAATTTATGTTAATTTCTTATTTTTTTCATTTTAAAATATTTACATTTCGCCCTTTCCAATGCTAGTTAATTCATTTTAGTGAATAAAAAATTGTATATGTCTTTCTTATTATTGACTTTTAAATTAAGTTTAAATCCCCCAGAATTAACAAACAAAACGTGCAATTGAGATTTTGAATCAGCAATATTTTATGAACCGAAAATTAATTATTTTGTAAGCCAAGAAAGAACCAAAATTTACATCGATTTTTTTTTTATTTTATTAGGAAGAATATATGCATTTTAAAATAAAAAGAAAATAAAATTACCCAAACAATGTCATTTTAGGTTTAAATTATATCCTAAAACCTCACACATAAAGACGACGGAAAAGACAAAAAATCTAGAAAACAAAAAAGGATTTGATTGATTGGTAACGGTTTAAATAGGTACATGTATCATTTTAAAATTTAAATTTTAGTTCACATATATTAATTTTGTGAAATTGAGTCCTTGCACAATTTTTAAATTTAAAATATTGGTCCTTCCTCTAACTTCTGTCTAATTTTACTGTCAATTGTTGATCTGACAGTTGTAGAAGAGGTAAAATAACTTTTCTAGTCTCCTACATTTACAGTTATTGTCAATTTGACTTTAATCTTTAAAAACAAATAAAAATTATTATTATTAATTAAACTATACAATTTTCAATCATCTATGTTTACAGCTTCTTAAGGGTGAAATTGATAAAAAAAAAATTATAAGTATAAAAGACTAAAAGTTAATTTACCTTTTTTTAAAGCTTTTTAAATATAAAAAGTACCAGAACTCTTGTAAAAATAAAGTGTAGTAAATTTTAAATAGTATAGGGACATTTATCGTATTAAAACCATGGATTAGTGATATTACCTTTATAATCTCCAAAAATGGTTTTAACAACTCTAGCGGCGGCTCGTTCCGTATAATGACCTTTAGTGACGATTCTATCAAGAAGTTCACCCCATGGCAAAGCTCCATTACAAGATATACAAACTCTTTATCTTCAAATGCTTCCCTAAAGGCAACAATATTTGGATGCTTTGGCAAATGCTTCATGATCTCAACTTCTCTCCTTACATCTTCGATGTCGATCTCCGCCCGCAACCTTGCCTTCGATATCTTCTTGCACGCGAAAGCTTCTCCGGTTTTTAAATCGAAACATTTGCTCGTCACCCCGAACTCACCTCTCCCAAACTCTTCCCCGATCTTGTACCTCTCAAAGATGTTGCTTCCCGACGAATCCTTCAAAACCCTAGTGCGTAAGTTTACCGATCTCCATCCACCTTCGTGGCCGAAACGTGCATGTTTCGAGTTGGTTTTCGGTTTCGACTTGCAATTGTAATGATATTTCTTCGATATTATATCTACTAGTTTTTTTGGCGCCGATATGCAATTTCCCATTTAACGATGATAATAAAGGCGATGGCAACGACAATAACGAAGGGATTGTAGTTAATTAAGTTTGATTTGATTCCATTTTTGGAATCATAAACATCCCGTGAGAAGAAAATAACTTTTATTATTGTTCTAGCATTTGAGAAAGAAAAAATGTAAACCCTGGCAAATTGCAAAAGAAAAGAATACTAAATTTGGAAGTTTTTTTTTATTAGTATTAGAGAGGTTAAAGAATCTGAGAAGAAAGTGATTGGTTTTTGTTAGATTTGTTCCGACATTTTCTTAGGACAGTTTAAACATTAATATGCCGTTGTTATGACTTTCATTACAGCTAAAAATAATTGTAATGAGTAATGGGCCATAGAACTAAGAAATAATTGTTCTACGATAAATATATTTGATAATTTAATATCGAATATTTTTTTCGAACTAACACCATAAATGATTGTCTGAAGTGTTGAGAATCTATCAATTTGATTTTTTTTCTTTGTCCTCCCGGATCTCATGGCTTTGCCTTAATTAATTCGGATCGTACACCTGACTTTGGTGGGCGAATCTCCCAGCGAGGATTTTCTACATACATAATAGAACTCGAAACCGGCTTAATCTATATCAATTTGATTTTTGAACATTCCATTAACTATCCTATTATCTTTACAAATCTATTATATATTCGTTATTCAATATCTTTGAATCTTTGACCCATTAAATGATAAAATTTAATTCGATTCATTTAAATTTTATAAAAAGTATAATTTAAAATAATTATTTAACTTTTTAAAATTTTATCATGGACTTTCGGTCCATAAAAATTCCTTGGCTTCTCCCTGATTATTTAGTAGGGTAGTAAAAAAGTTTTTTAAAAACGTAATAGCAAATGAATCTTTAATTTTTATAGTTAACATGAAATTATTATATTAATATGCGTAAACCAAACGATTTCATTGATTAAAAGGGTGAGTGATCCAAATTCGATTCGAAATAATCATATATTTGAATTTTCGGATCAAATATCTGATCTGAATATATCATTTATTTATCCTAGAATTAATCCGTTTAGTGTTCAACTATCAGCGGATAGAGGAGGCATTTGTGAATCTGCAGTATTGAAACTATTCTTAATGTTGCTGGATAGTATTGTTCCATCCTTATGATGGTTTTTTTGTACAAGTTTCCAGAAAATTTTGAGCTTATTTAATCTATGCATTGCATAGAACAGTTTTAAAGTGCTTTTACTTGTATAATTAAGCATCAGTTTTTTTTTAAGAAGCAATAAGTCAAGTTTTAAGTGTTGCTTCAATATTCTAATGCATTTATAGAGACAACTTAAGTTTTTCATAATGAAAACTCTGTGCATACAAAAGAAGACAAATATAATCGATTAATTCCCTTTATTTTTTTTTTATTTACTTGGAATTATATGCAGCCTTCATGGTTGGTTTGATAACAATGGAGTTGGCGAGTTTCTGTTGCTCTGTCTATGCATGCAACATATGCCAGAATAGCTCCCCACTCTCCTAACAGAATATGTTGGAGATGGAACAAAGCATAGAAGCAACAGTGGCCTTTTCTAGGGGGACTGAATGGGACTTTCCATACGATCATAGAAGATAGTGCTATTGGGCTTAAGGCTAAAGGCCCATTTATTTTTTGAAATATTCGTTTAATCCGAAATTAAGATTTCTCCTATACATACCCAATCTGATTTTCCGAATTTTGTACCGGATATCCGATCTGAATTATCCGGATAAATTTCAGATCGAATTGTTCATATCGGATATTTGTACACACCTACCTTAGAATCACCTCACTTTAATAAAAAAAATATTATATTAACATTAAATATGCTTACTATTAAATTATGTTCTTTTAAAAATCTAGATTTTCAAAGGAGAGAGACAAGGAGGCTTGGGTTCACAGATTCGAATAAGAGAAACAAAATATACTCGACGTTTATTGCTACTGTTGGAAAGCAATGGAAGGTTAAACCGACTAGTTATATATTTGGAATCATTGTAAATTATCACAACATTTTTTTATGAATAAATAATCAAAACAATTTTGAGGCATCATAGGCAAAATGGTGCAAGGAAAACGTCCTAATCCCACTCAGTTATAGTAACGCAACATTATATCGGCGCATGATAGCAATAGCAATGTTATGGTCAAAATATTTTACGATTATAATAAGTATTTGTTACGGATGAAAACTAATCTATTCACTGTGATTTAGCTGCGTGGTGCAGTATGTACGATTGAGACAGAAAAAGAGATGGCCTTCGTGAATTAGAAAGAGAAAATTCCGATTTGACAACAGCCTACCCAACCTAAATGATGAAGAGGCCATTTGAGATCAGAAGTTTGCCTCGTCCTCCGCAAATTGCATTAAAAACTTCAAAATTGATGTCTTGGCATCATCTCCAACTCCTTTCTCCCTACTTTCAAATATGTCTTTCATAACACGACTGTACACCCTTTCAAGCTCTGGAATTCCCTTGTTTTCCGTTCGTTCCAGAATCAGTTGCTTTATCCTTTCTACTTGCTTAGAAATCTCACCACTCGATATTCTAATGTCCTCGGATCCGCTCCCATCGATTTGACCATCAGATTCCATACAAGTTTCTTGCTGGTTTCCATCTCCGAAACCAGGCTCAGGCCCCTCGCAGTTTATCTCGTTTGCTTCCTGGGTTTGAGATGATGACTTCGTTAGTGTTGAATCCGCTACCCGTGATTTGTCTTCTGCTGCATAGATTAACGGGATAAGTCCCAGACATAGCCAATCATAACACTTCTAATGTAGAAAAAAGAATCAACTGCGATATAAATGTCACAGAAGCTACAAAAACAATACCATGATCAAAGAAACTACAATACGGAAATAATTCTTCATTTCCTACAGTGTTCTTTATCAAGATTGATATACGACGGTTTTCATCTAAGTTATGTGTTAAATATGGATATGTCAAGCATGGGTATACTCCATTTTCTTTCCAAAATTTTCAATATATTCGGAGGATCATTCTCTCATAACCATGTCTGAATATATGCCATATATGAACATTTAGAGTACATATAATATAAGTTTTCACAAACCACACTACCATTTCATTTTCTTAAGTTTGTTCAAAGAAAAAAAATAGTCAACACTTCATAGAATTAGGGTATTGAATGGGATGAGATTTCTGAAATTAATATGGAGTATAGTTGCTTCCCATGATAACCTAAAATAGGAAACACCAAAACCTTCTACTTTCACAATACTCCACATCAATGGGAAAACAAAATTACCACTAAAAGAATAAAACCACCAAATAAAACGATAATATATCCCTGACAGGTGCTTAAGAGCAGGTAGATGGGCACATTCCTATCCTAACTGAGAGGTGAATTTAATTAAATGAGATTTAAGGTTGAGTGGAACTTTTAGGAGGGAAAGGCCCTTTAAAAATATAAATGTAAAAGCATATGCCTATCCTGGTATCGGATACCAACTGAGATAACTAAATCCAATGCTTAGTAATTAAATATGTAACAAACTAAACCCTAAAACCCTAAAACCCTCATCAAGACACCAAATGAGAGCCGGCTAATCTATGCATACACATAGTTGACATCAAAATACCTGAAAGGGCAGTATCGGCATTCTTCTTTGGCCTTTTCAAAGCCTCGTAACTTTGAAGATTGGCCTCTGGCTGGACATTGCGAAGTCGGGCACTTGCTCGAGTGACAGTTCCTAGCTGCACTACAGGTACTGAGGGGAGTGTAGTCACACCCATGTCATCTGGCACATGTGTTGGACCCCCTTGGGCAGCAATTTTGTCACAAGAAGTAACCAGTGAAGGGTCCATCTGCGACAGCATACCATGTACCTGAAAAAAAATTAAATATTATGCAAAGAATGAAAGGGGAAAAAGCCCCATATAATGAGAATAAAATTCAAAAGCAAATAAGTGGACGAACTGAATCTCGTAGTTCATAAGCTCTGCTAACAATTCTAGCACCATTATAATCATCTCCATTATAAGCCTGCAATTCAAGAAGGTAAAAGCAAATCAGGCACCAGAAACAAGCCAAAAAAATAAGACAAATCAGAGGATGCTATGGTTTCAGACTTTGGCTTACAGAAGCATTGGTACCCTATCAGAAAATCAAGATTTTTGGCAAATTTGTGATGGTTACAAGAGATGAATAAATAGAGTGCTAAAAACCAAACAAGCAATACGAACATGTGGCCTATTAATGAATTCTTTTTCAGTATGTAAACTTCCACACACCCTTCAAATGGAAAAAAATTATTAATGAAGCACACAGTAGTGCATGTTATACACTGGAAGATTAGTTATAAATTCCAGTCCTGAAATCAGCAGAAGAATCATTTATGGTTTATATCCAGCAATAAAACGAACTTCCAAGTGATCTCTTCAAGTAACATGAAAATAAAATCTAATGTTTAAATTAATGGAAAAACTGATTACAATAATACACTGACAGTAAAGACAATTAACATGAAGTAAAATATTCAGACCCTACTCTTCTGTACATGGCATGTGGTAAATATTTTACTTGGTAATTAGGACTTTATATTTCTAGATTTATTTCGTTAATGGTCAGAAGTGCACTTTTTAGTTCCTCTATCCTTTGCTTAAACATGATACTTAGATACTGACTTTTGTTTATTATAGCATTTTACAAGGGTTAAAGTTTATTTTCTTGGTTGTCTGAATTGGTTGTTTTACATATTTAGTAGATACTCTCCTATAACAAATTATGAACCTAATGGAGGAGAAGATTTTGAGTTGTTGAAGCTTTTATGTCAAGGAATATCTAATGCTCCCTTTCTGAGTTTCTGTTTCCATCTTGAGAGAAGGACCTCTATTTTCAGGTGAGGTACCGCTATCAAACCTTGGATCTTTTACTTTTCTATTCCTATATCCTACCCATTTCTATTAACTACTTCAGATAACTTATACCAGCAAATTTATTAAACCCCCCCCCCCTTTTTTTTGAAAGGTAATTTATTACCCACTTAATGAATGGGTTTCCAGAACCAGTTCCAAACTGCAACCTTGCAGCCGCGAAAGTATTCTTTGGAATTTCTTTCTCTGCAACCAGCCACACTTTTTCCCTTTAAAGATTCAATCAACTTGAGCCCCAAAATATAACAATAAACTCCAAAATTCCAAAATTTTGAGCCCTAGTTATATATCTAACATCTCAAAAAAACTAAGCAAGTGAATGCCCTCTATCCTTTCCTACATGTATTAGTAAATGTGCAAATGTTTACCCTCCATGAGTAGCAAGGTACATGTTCAACTAAGTTTAATATAAAAAAGAATCTCGGAATAGACTGCATCTAAAATTTGACAAACCCAAACCTTTGCATTGGCTACAACCAGGTCAACATCTTGTAGAAAAGATGAACAAGTAAGATATTGCCCAGAGTCAACCCGCTGCAATAGTGTAGCAATGTCCATAGGGTTCTGGATTACTGAGTGGTAGTTTGGGGCATCCTCATCAGTGACGGGATAATGGAAAGCACTAAATCTTTTATCATACAATATCCTGCAACAGGATCAACCATAATCTAAAAGGGTTGATAAATGTGAAATGAGTAGAAAAAATCAAAAACCAAATAACCCCTTTTCCATTCATGATCAAGGCCTAAATATAGAAACTAGATTTATTGCATGTCTAAAGGTCAATTTTTCTCTCTGATTCTGTTCTCAAAGTTTTGAATAGTTTCACAACTTTTCTTTTCCTAAAAGCACAATTTATCTCAAGGTCACCTGACAGAACAATTCCACAGAATACACCTAATGTGCCACACATAACTCTTTGGAAACCTTTAGATATTCTTCTGATCTTCATTATAATTTTTCCATTTATGAAATTTTAATTCAAAAGTAAAATCTGAGCTCCAGTTCCCTAAACTATTTGTCCAAAATTCTACCCAAATCAATTGAAATATGTATCACAGTTAAACAGAATTTCCATCACCAAGATAAAGTGATAGAAAGGAAGATAAAAGGGGTAGAGGGATGAAAAACTGGTGGCCTAAGTTATATAGTACGATATAATATGTTATAGATTCTAATAGGACCATGTAACTTTACCGATTGCAAACATCTCTAAGGCACATCCGTAAGCGGCGAAGAGCATGTTGCTCAGCTTCTACTTTGGCCTTCAATTCTGAGACCTTCAGTCCAGTTGTCACTTTTGGCACTCTGGGAAGTTCAGGAAGAGATACTGATTCCTGGGGCTTTTTGGTCACAGCCTCCAACAATATTGACATAGCAGCTTCAATTAAACGGTCACAAAACAAAGTTCTGTCTGCAGTTGATGGTTTTCCCACTTGATAGCTGACAATAAAAATTATACAAAACAGGTGAACTAAGTTTTAATTGAAAAAATTAGTAAATAAATACCCATGATGAGTCGAACAATGATGATAACAAAATTTTCTGCAGTTCAGCAATACAGTATTATCATTCTATTCATCTACTTAATTCTTTAAAGAAAAAAGTGAAAATCTCAACATTCCACGTCATATCAGCATAAAAGAGAGCTGTCACTGCATTTTGCTATGGGATGCCAAGATCCATTCTTGCAAGAAAGGACAAGACAGGTTTAGTTACTGAAAATCAAAACATCATGATTACAAGCCTATGTTATGAATGATGATTGCCAATGGTGAATATGATTTCCAAAACACAAAAATATATATGTAGAAATGCATAAAAAGGTTACTTCAAGGGCTAGTTTGACATACACACTACGCTGAGGAAATACTGAATATGGATTCCCATCAAAATCGGCAAGTGAAACTGTGGATGTTCCAAGCAATAATATAGGTAAGTCCGATGGCAACTCTTCCAAAAGAGTAAGCAGAACAGCCCTAAGCTGTTCATGTGCCTGCAACACCAAATTCCTTAAACTCAGAAGATAAAAAAGAGTAGAGAAATATGCTAAGAAACTAGCACTGACGTATCTGAAAATTTATATAAAATAAATAAATAAGTGCACTTCGTTTCTTAATACAATTTAATTAGAATCAGATATGAAAAGTCCGTCAATGAAAGGAAGCACTCACGTTATCCCACCATAGATTAAACTGAGGTATATAGAGTATAGAAGGTGTTACTCTTCTTGCTTCACCAAATATATGCACCACTGCTTCCTCTGGAGTCTTTGCGCTAGGATCCGAAAGAAGAGATGGAAGACCAAGAGAATGTACTGGAAATTTCTCTAGCTCATGCAATATTGCGGGTCCAAGATGATCCTGTAGAACTAGATCAGTAAGTATATTTAGTTTTTGGCTTTAACATTTACAGTTACTCAAAATCAAGTGGATGCAAAATATTTACCAAGCCAAAACCATCGGCGCCACAAAGGATAAGCCGAGGCCTATAAACAAGAGGAATTGCAGATCCATATGAGAGCATAGATAACTTGGTCAACTCAGATAACAGTGTTAGGGGAGGAAATATGTCAGATATATAATTCATGACATTCTGGAGATGTCTTTGCAGGCATGGTGCAACCACCAAAGACAACGGTCTAGATTGAACAATGGAACCTCTGTGAGCAGCAGGGGTAATCGTCGACATGGCCTCTATAAAGTGATACTTTTCAACCTTTACTGAGTCGACATCTATCAGAAATTTGTCATCACTGGTGTACACTTGAGGGTACTTTTCACGGAAAGCACGAATGGCAGCTTCAGTGCATAGGGCTTTCAAATCTGCACCACAATATCCCACACAACTAGCTGCAAGTTCCACTTTAAGTTCCTTAGATGGAGGTTGCTTCCACTTCCGAGTGTGAATATCTAGTATTTCAGCACGTGCTTCACAACCAGGCAAAGGAAAATTGAATTCACGATCAAATCGTCCAGGGCGTCTTAAGGCACCATCAATAGCATCAACCCTATTGGTTGCTCCAATCAAAACAACTTGCCCACGGGAATCCAGACCATCCATGAGGGCAAGCAAAGTAGACACTATAGAATTGTGAATCTGCTCTTGTTTACTAGACCTTACAGGAGCAAGCCCATCTATCTCATCAAAGAAAATGATAGAAGGTTGATTCCTTTGTGCCTCTTCAAAAAGAAGTTTCAATTGTCTTTCAGCCTCACCAACCCACTTGCTAAGTACATCAGCACCCTTTCGCATGTAAAAACTGACTTTTTGACCTGCCTTTGAAGCAGCACATGCTAATGCTCTGGCAATCAATGTCTTACCAGTGCCAGGAGGACCACACAACAGGACACCCCTAGGTGGGGTGATGTGATAACTTGCAAAGAAATCTGGATACAACAAGGGGAAAAAAACCATTTCCTTTAGAGCATCAATATATTCAGAAAGCCCACCTATTTCATCAAAGCTTACACTTTCATCAACCTGTAAGGGTTGAATATCTGCCCCTCCTTTAGAGCTTGGTCCAGCAGTCTGAATTCCAGAAGTCAACGTGGCAAAAACATCACTTTGATGACCCCAACCAGATGCAGCAACATTTAATCCCCATGTTGTTGTCCCATGCATGTCTAGTCCCCCAAACAACCAAGGTGGTCCTGATTTGCTCCCACCTCGGCCCCAAGGAATAGCAGGGCCCTGATCCAACTCATCCACAAGAAGAGAATCATCAGAATCCTCTGTTCTTGTTAGACGATGACGCTTATGAACTCGTGAGCCACCCCTTCTAACATCCCTACTGACCTTAGTCCCCATTCCTTGATGCAAAACCCTCCGAGGAGATCTATCTCTTTGCTTGCTCTCATCCATAGAAAGTCTGCGTACTTCAGTACGGTTTCGAAGATCATACCGCCTCCTTCCTTCCCGCTCTTCTTCACCGTCTTCATCATCACCATCATCCTCTCCTTCATCTTCACCCTCACCCTCAGCCTCTCCATCACCCTCACTCTCATTTTGGCCGTCATCTAAATCATTCCCATTTTCAGTTTCATCTTCACCAGCTTTCTCCTCTGAAATGTCTTGCTCAGCACCAGAATCCAAATTCATTCGCTTAATTGCAACTCCTTTTGAACGACGAGGGCGCAATCCTTCACGACGAGGAGTTTCTTTAGTCTCCATGATCTTTTTGTGTTTGGGAGAAGGAGACTCATCTTGACTAACACTGTTATCAACACGGTTTCTCAAAGGTCGATATGAAGGTCTCTGAAAAAAAAATTGCAAGTTGAAATAGAATACACTTTCTATGACGTGATAATATTGATGATGCATCAAATCCGAGAAAGGTAATTGAATTACAAAAATTTTGCATGCTTGGAAGGTACCATCATGTCTTCATCCCCAGAACCAGAACTATCAGTAAAACCATTAAGATTCACAGAAACTCTCCTCTTTCTGGATGAACGCCGAAGATTGGGTGTGCCTGACTGCAAAAAGAGGATTAAGAAATAATCAGATTCAGAATACATGACATCACTGACAAATGAATCATTTGATCCAATTAAGCTTCAAGAGAAGAGGTGGTAATATGAAATGTGTGCAAAGATGCAAAATATTCAAGAAAACCAACATGAAACACACCCTCCAATAGAAACGCCTGAGATAACGGAGAAAAAGGAATCTATAAGTTGATCTAAAAAGCAAAAGGACAATGAACTTGAAAGTAATATGATACCCCAAGTACCACCAATGGCATAGCAAAATGGGGACCAAGGCAGGCCTTCCCCCACCCTCCACTCCCAAAATGAGAAGTTCCATTGCCCCAAAGTTTTAAAAAATTTTCATCAAGTCCCGCAAGATTTTTTAAAATGTTCATTAGTTAATATATTTATATGTTTCTATATATTAAATTAAATAGGTACCCTAAAAATAAATTGTATATATGTCTATAACTTCAATTTATATAGGCTTAATAACAAAATAAGTGCCCAAACTATACCTAAATTCTCGAATAGGTGCCTAAACTATTTTTTGACCCATTCAGGTGCCTAACGTTACATATTTAGGTGTCCGGGCCGTCTACGATTTTAATTTTCCTGTTAAGTGACGCGTGTCAGAATCTAGGGCTTAATTTTCCCGTTAAGTGACATGTCACAATCTAGTGATTTTATAAATTTTATTTAAAATTAAAAAAATTATATATATTTTTAAAGAAAAACATAAACATTTTGAAACGAGCCCAAAAACTTTAAAAACCTTCATTTCAACCCATAAACCCACATTGACCATCGCCCTTTGCCGTCGGCGAAGCTCCACTCAACCTCATCTCCCCCGACAGCCAAAACCCCCATAAAATCGTGATAGATTGACGGCGAATCGAAGTTTTATACCCCGCAAACCCTAGGATGAAAATCGCAACCCCATGCGATCTCGAAGGGAACTACGACGGCGTATGCCTAAGAGGTAGTCAGGGACTACATCGACGGCGATGGCAGTGGACGGAAAGGGGACGGTGGCGGGTTAAGGTTAGGATTTGGGGGATTTTTTATAATTTAAGAGAAATTAGAGTTTTTATAAATATAATAATGTTTTAAAAAAAAATCAAAACCATCAGATTGTGACATGTGTCACTTAACGGAGAGATTAACGCCGCTGACAGGCCAAGCACCTAAATGGGTAACGTTTGTAACGTTAGGCACCTGGATGGGTCAACAAATAGTTTAGACACCTATTCGAGAATTTAGATATAGTTTGGGCACTTATTTTGGTATTAATCCATTTATAAATTATAATAAGATAAAGACAAAAATACATTGTTATTATCTTTTTATTTTACTATCAATCATTATTCATAAACTAACAAACTAATTGGGTTTTATAGTTATAATATTGCAAGTGGTTCTTTTGTTCCTATTATACAATGAGTATTTGCTAAATAGTTGTTAAAAAATGTGCAACAAGCTCTAAATATCGGAGTATCTTGCAAATAATATCAAAAGAAAGAATACAAATGTTTTTATCCTTTGATTTATGAACCGATAAAAGTTATAGTTTCATAAGTTCTTATCTTTACTAGTATATTACTCGCTTGTATGTTTTTATATTGGTAAAATATAACAAGATATCTTAATTAAAAGTATTGTTTTAATAAACTAAACAAACATATGATGCATACTAAACTAAACAAATATGCATATAACTTGTTTTAATACATTCACTCCCTATTCCATTTTAGCGAACTAAATGCACCGCATATATAGTTGGGCCCAAAAACTTAATATCAAGATCCACCAATACGTGTCAGAAAGAATGAAGCATGAATTCATATTAACAACATAAACAAGCTCTATGCTAGGTTAGGAAAAGCTCTAGCACAAAGTAAATAGTTTTCTAGTTCACTTTAACAATGCATGGACCATCCTAGGTTCAAGTGATGTATCCACCTCGAAAGCAGTCAAAGGTTGAGCTAACAATAGAAGTAGGTTATATACATGGCACAAAGAAGAGATAAGTCCTTCCGATTTTAAACAGTCAAGATAAGTCCTTCCGATTTTAAACAGTCTCTAAATTAATACAAGTTGTAATCCTATGCACTTCAAACAAGTGATTGTTGATGGTCTTTTGCATATCTGTTATTAAGAAACAAATGAACCATTTTTTAGTAATAAACAAAAGCATCCACTAAAGTCTCTCAGCTTTAATCATGGCAGTAGAAAACCACCAGAAACTCCTTTTGGCTATTGTTTTTGCTTCCTAAAGTAAAAAGCATGTTCGAATAATCAAACATTATTTACAAGAAAAATAAATAATATTTTTATTTCTTTAGATAACAAAATGAAACATCCTACAGTCACATAGACAAATTGTGTTATCTCTGTGTCAAGTTTTGTTGAAATCTAAGCGAATAAATTGACAGAGAAGGAAAGAATAACGGAGTTAACACAAGAAAAAAATCTGATTTCTGAAGTAGGAGATTACAAGAGTTTAAATAGACCGAGTAGCTGACTTCTAATAGGACTTTAAAGATAAACTTCTATCTAGATTACAAAGACTCACAAGACTTATCTTTCTTATCATAAAAGACTCCAAACAAATGAGACTACTATTATACCTACTACTAATAGGACTACTACTACAAGGCTGCTCTAACACATTTTAATAAGTTATCCGTATTAAAATTAAGATTAAGATTATTAATTTTTACATTGTCTTGTAGCAGCTTTTCAAGAAGCAAAAGAAAGTAGCAAAAGCCACAAACAGATAAGCACCTTAATAATTGCAATATATTTTAGAGAGAGGGAGAGAAACTATAATTACATAGAAGATTCAAATGCATGAACTGAAAATTCTCCCTCAAACTGCATAAAAGACTGTCATCATGGTATATCCAGTCGATAAGGATCCGTAAGTTACCTTGTTTTTTGAAGTCCGAACTGATCGATCCCCTGAGCTCAACATTCTAGCAATGCGAGAAGCTACTGTCCTTGACTTTGTCTTGCTTTTCCTAGTCCGAATGATGGTTGGACTGTAATACAAATATGTACGCCCATACACTTTTGGCCTTCTCCTGAGCCTATCACTTGTGCGCACAGGCCCAGAAATTGGCCCATCTCCTTGACCAGAACTTTTTGAATACATTGACAAACACTAGCTTTGGTGATTGTATTCTTCCATAAACTTTCAAGCGTAACTACATCCTAAAGAGAAAAGTAGTAGTCATAATAAAAAGAAGAGATTCCAAATTACTTTATGTAGATTTTCATGAATGCACAACTTTCAATCATCTAACCTAAATGGCACTGTTAATCACACATGATTGTAGATGATTACCAATAAATAATATTTCTAAGAATAATCTCAATTAAACATGTGAAATTTTAATGACACTACTTACTTAGAAACAGGAGCCTTTTTCACATAGTAGATTACAAGAATAGAATATTTTAAATAACAAAGTTAATATACCCTCTTTTAAGCTAAATACAAGCAAGAATTCTCTCTATGAACCAGATCATCTTTCCATTTCAGGAAAACATTCTTAGTCCTCAGTTTATGTTTATTAGTCAAGCATAATGATGATACAGATAAGGGATATACACTGCACATTAACAAAGGCTATTTAGATGCAACAGAATAAAGTAACGAAAATTCAGAGAAATTATCGTCAACATCTTTTTTTTAAATGTTAAGAAAGAAAATTTGAACGATGAGGGAAAAAAGATCATAGTATGGTAAAAGTATCTCTTAGACAAGACATATTACTCCCTGTTAGTAGCTACACATTTCCTTTGGAGTATGTTGAGTTTGGGGACCAATGATGCTTACTAGAGGCAAAGGAAATTCTTCAACCAGGAACTAAGGATTAAAGAACAGACAATATACAGATAGTCCTAAGAACTAGGCTTTCACAAAAAAGACATGTTTAATAGAAAGAGGGAAAGCAGCAGAAGGGAATGAGAGGGGCTCTAAAGATGGTAGAGAACCATCAAAGGGCTTTTTGTCACTTTCTAAACTTAAATGCTTGAGAGCATATAACAATCCCTCTCCTTTAAAATCCATTCAAAATCTGTACAAAAAACACATTTGAGTAAAAGGCACACAATGCTTTCTCCACAGCGAGATCAGCACTGCTGCAAAGTAGAAAGAAGACATGGTTAATCTCTCAAGATCTTACTTTTTGAAAGTTCCCCCCCTCCATTCGTTTTCAGAAACTTCAACAATAACACAGTCCAATTAACCTCGTGAAATCCAATTTTATTTTTAATATGCAAAAATTTCATCAATAGCTTAAGGTATTTAGAATTTATTAAATCATAAACAAATTAAAAAAAACTATAGAGAAACAGATATCCTTCAATTATAGCAAATTGAAATTGAACACAAAACAGCACAAGAATAAAAAGATAAAACCAAATAAAGCAAATATTCCAGGTAATTTCAAACTATTAGAGTTCTTCCCACGAAAATTCACGTTGAACCAAGAAATCTAACAAATTGCTTAAAAGCAAACAAATCCTTAAGGCATGCACATGCGGTTGCGTGACAATATATATAGCAAAAAAAGCAGAGTCCCGGAAAATATTGAGAAAACGGAAGTAAATGCGAAACGCAACTCCTAAATAAAATAAACCTAAAACAAAGAAGAACCATCGATTCTACTAAATAAAAACGAATTGCCTTCGACATCATTTAAATTGAAACACGGATAATTTAATTTTTAACAACAGCGAGACAAGAAAATTAAAGGCGGAAAAAAAAACTACCGAACCAGAGATCTAGCCGAGGAGAGCCGATAAGGCTTCAAACATAGAAGAGAAAACAAGAGAAACTGCGAGTAAAACGACGGATTAAATCCTCGGGGACTTCAGAAGAAAGCTCAAACTCCAAAAGTATATAAACAAAGCCCTAAAAAGAAAGAGTTAAAGGGGAAACGAGTTCACCCCGAGTTATTCGACTCAGTGAGTTGCGCTGCCCGACTTTTTTATTATCTCCAAAAAGGACCCATTAGTTGAAGAAGTGGGTCCATGTGTTACACGGATAAAAAAATGTTGTGGAATCGTGCTCATACAAAGTCAAACGGCCAATTAAGATTGGCCACGTAAGAACGAGTACTAAGGATTTAGTTTGGCTAGGTTTTTCGTACATTTGGTTCACGGAATATAAGATTATCAGTGAGAATAAAAGATTATCAAGAAATATGATTACTGAGAATGTTGTATTTTTTGTTTGGTTGGTTTAATAGGAATGTAAGATCATCGTGTTTGGTTAAAGGAATAAAAGATTATTAGAATGTATATTTGACCAAATTGTCATTATTATATATTTGGTTTTTTAACAAGTTAGAAAATATTTATATATTTTCTTTAAAAAATTTAAATTTATATAATTTTTTTTACAAAATTAAAAATATAAAAAGGTTTAATGAAATGGTAACATTTTATTTTAACCCCTGAACTTTATATAAAATTTTAATTATAGATATTTTTTGTAAATATAAAATAGTTTAAGGATAAATTTATAATTTAACCTTCGTATAATTTTTATTATTCAATTACAGAATAAGGATATTTTTAAAGAAAAAAATTTAATGGCATTTTAGTCCAAAACGCCGGTAATCCAACAATATCTAAGGAAAGAGAGATAATGACATTCCAGGTAATATACCTCAAAAAATCCACTATTAGTAATATAAGATTACCATGAATGATATTTAGTCCTCCAATCTAGAGGACTAGGCATTTGGAATTGAAGTGCATTTAGGTGGATATATACATTAATTATGCACAAACATCGACACCAAAAAAAAATTCAACAAGAGAATGAAGTAACAGCAACGTAAAAACAAATACATCAAGATTATAAAAATATGAATTATTAGTTTTCAAAAAAATTATATATAGATATATTTATGTTGTTATGTAAAAATACATAAGAAGTAGAATATACGAACGACCAGCCCCACGAACCTTATGCCCCAATCGTTGCACTTTATGTACGGTCGACCCGACGGCTCCGATCTCCTGATCCTCCCACAGGCCACGAAATAATTGTTGCAGCATTAAAACATGGCTTCTTTTATGCTCTTCACGTTCAGCCCTTCCGCTGCATGGCCGCTCAACAAGTACACGGCTTTGAGGTAGTGGAGTTTCATGGCTAAGTCAAGGCCAGTAAGGTCATGAACCACGTCTGAACCGGCGACTCGACCTGGTCCGACCGACGACAGCTTGATGTTGTCGACAAGATCTTGGGGGGAACCCATGGTTTGTGTTTGAAGACAGGATATGAGACTGAAAAATAATTGTTAATTATGACGTTTGCGAATTTGATTTTGGAAATTGGTTATTTGGGGGTTCGACGTCTCATTAAACCTTCACCGGTTTCATGTAACCTGAGCAGGATAGATCCGAAAAGCAGTATAATAGAATAGAATAGAATATGAATTGGTTCGAGCGGTAAGCAGTTTAATATTGATTAAGTAAAGTCTTAAGTTTGAATACTTGTGTACGCAGAAAATTCCTACTGGGAGGCTCACCTACCAAAACTACATGTACAATCCGGGTCGGTCCAGAATAGTTGGAACTGAAGGAAAAAAGAATAGAATAAAGTAGAGTTTTTCTCCTAAATATTTTAAATTATTATATATTTTTAATATATTTTTAATTTTTTTGTTAATAATTTATGTTTATTCCTACAATTTTATGAAGTTGTTTCCTTTTAAAATTTTAATAATTCACCCTTTATTATAAAATTATATTTTTATCCCTAACCCTAATAATGGAGTTCGCAAAATCCGATTACAGTAGACAAGATACTTGTCCATTTTTAATGTTTAAAATATAACTTTATTCAGTTTTATGAGAGAGCAGTTGAGCTAGGGTGAGCGTCATTGTGATCTGTTCTTCATAAAAAAAAATTATTACATGCAATATATAGTAAATTATTTTTTTTATGAACGTGAGTGATATGTTGACATAGGGTAATCATTTATACATTTATAATTATATAAATTCATAAATCCACATTATTATGCATTTAATTAATTCTGGTGAGCTGATTCACAACTACAAAGTCCCATTCCGTGTCAAAATAACATCCTCATTGTTGCGTTCAATAAAGCATTCATTATAATGAAATTAGGAAAGAAAATTGAGTGATTACAATGAAACCCATAATATTTATTTATTTATTTTATATAAAATTAAAAGATCAAACTAGTTTAATATAAATATGTTACCTTCTATATTGTTTTATTCGTGTTTAAATTGTTTATACTTTTCTAAATTAATTGAATGGTTACAATAATTTATTTTATCATTGAAGCCACTTAGGGGTCGTTCGGTTCATGGAATGTAAGATTTCTTTATGAATGAGATTACTGGAATGTTAAATTACTTAACATTTTATTGGTGATGTTGTATTACCTTGTTTGATTTGTTTAGCAGTGATGTAAGATTATAGTGTTTGGATGAAAGAATATAAAATAGAAAAAACATATGTTTTATCAAATTATTATTGAGATATATTTTCCTTTTTAACAAATAGAACTCTCAATATTAGAGTTAACATATTTATATGAAAGTTGATAAAATATAATTTTCCGTTATTTCTAATTTTAATATTTTTAATAAAATTTGTACATACTTACACTAGTGTAAGTATGTGTTGATTACTACACCTTTTTATTTATGTTATATGTATGAGTTGTATAAAAAATATCATATCAAATTATATGAAAAAAATCAATAAAAATTGATATATTTTATTTTACATTTTATTTTATATACATCATATTATTTTATAATAAGTATTAAAAATAAATAAAATAGATTTATTCTCGTGTAATTATATACAAAAGAAATGATCATTTTGAAATAATTATATTATTCAAGGTATTATTGTTCAAAGTGAATGTAATTGTTTAATACATAAGAAGAGGGGAATGAGTTTCATGAGAATACAAGGTAAAAAAGGTATTGTAGGTAATGTTTCATTACCTTCCGATGGGAATGCTTTTGAATCAAACATGAGTATGTGATTTTAGAAAAGAATATTCCCTCAATAATGATCTTTTCCTTGATCCAAACGTCCCCTTAGTGGATTCATCTTAGTCGTGTTCATCAAGTCTGAAATGTTACACATTTTAATATTGAGGTTTGAATCTTATTATATATATACTTGTTATTTATATTATATAACTATTAAATTATAAATATGAAAAATATTAAATTTAATTTTAAAAATATAAAAATCTTAAACTCAATTTTTTATTTTTATCTTGTATTAACTGGAGTTTAAAACATATACGAAATTTATCCAAATATTAGATTTTATTTAATCATTTAAGTTCTCTATTTGGCTTGGGTTCAAATTTCACCTTGGCAATTTTTTATTGTATTAATTATAGTATAAGGTACGAATAGTAATCTCGATGGTAAATGACTGTTATTTTTTTAGGTCCTGAATTCAAGCACAAAAAATATCAAGGGTATAAGCGCTTAATGTTAAATAATTGAAATTTATCTTTAAACATATACTTCATTAGGACCCATGTTAATAAAAAAAACTATAGTATAAGATATATACATAATTTTATAACACATAACGCAAATGTTTATTTTGGTTCAGTGGCTATGATGTGCCCAACTCATCTTTAGGACCCATGTTTGATTCCCATCCTCACCTCCTTTTTTTTATTAACTATAGTATAAGGTATAGACATAATTGTATTAAATATGTTTAAATTATAAAAAAAAATCCAATCAAATAATAATATGTGTTATCATTTTATTAGAGATTCAATTTATTAAATTAAAATTACAACTAATTTTAAAGAATGCTTAAGTATTGAAGACTAAATATATAATTATAAAATTTTTGTTAATTGTCACGTCTTCTCTTCTATCAATTACTAACGATAGTGAAATGATCTGATTGACAAAATTAAAATATCGATGATCAAATTAAAATCTCCTCGTACTTAAGTAATTATGAGTATAATTTACTCATAAAATTTAAATTTTTTTTGCCGTGAAAAGGTTATTTGAGAATTATTTTTCATTTAGCTAGAGACTGTTTTAATTATGTTAATATTTCAACTTAAATTACATATTTTAAACCACATAATCTAATAGAAAATTAACTAAATATAAATGATTCATATATTATTTAATAAAAATAAAATTATTAACTAAATTAAAAATACTCAATTTAATGATTATATAATAAATTTTAATTAAAAAATATAAAAAATGTGAATATTTTTTTTTTAATTTGGGGTAAGTATAAGACAATATTTGTTTAAAGATAAACTCTCACTCTTTCGAAAATGATCGCTCACACCCCTAACATCTATGGTGCTCGAACCCGAGTCCTCAGGAATAACATCTATTTCTTTACCACGGATGTCACTTGGTTCGTACAAATACATTTATTCTTTTAAATCTTGTATTAACTAAATCTTAAAATATATATGTTATTTATTCTATTATTAACTAAATAGTGTATTTGTTTTAGTAGTTTAAGTGTTCTCATGTTCTTTATTTGGTTTGGGTTTAAATCTTATCTTAGTTATCTTTTTTCGCACTAACTAAAATATATACATAATTTTATAATATGTTAAGTAAAGCTTAGTGGCTAGGGAAAAATTAGACAAATCATACACTAAAACTTAACTGCTTAAACAAAGTTAGGGAAAACTTCCTTATAGCATAATGTTTATCACTCAAACATTTCTAATATAAAAAAAATATTAGGCTCCTTTTACTCGTTTAAGTTCTAAAACTTTTTAAACTCTTCTAGTTCTAGAATGAGGTGTATTGTATCTTTTATCGTGTTACCATGACATTGAAATAACTCCATTATTCTGTCATAG